TCCTGGTGAATTGCGACAGACCTATATGGTTTATGTTGCGAACTTAAGTTGATCGATGTTTCCTCGATTCAGGCTTTCCAAGAAAGCTAATCCAGTTTCTTGATAGGAGCGAAACTCTAATAGCCATTCAGTCGTCAAGAAATATCTTAAATAAAGAAAAATATGTTCCCCTTACCTTCGTAGAGGTTTATAAAAGTGAAGGATTTCACTGCACACTGTTATTTTCCGGTAGCTGTAATTATTGGCCACATCTCTAAATGAGTCATACCATTTCCTAGTAAATTCCATTGATCCGTGATATTGGTAATGTACAATTTCATGAATGCTTTGCGAACTTTTATCATGGTTCATACGTTTTCAGAAAGTCAATAGGCAACAAACAAGTAAGTTAGTTGTTTCTCCATAATTTAGGTTTATGGCTCCAGGCGCCTTTTATTTGCAAAGCGTATAATTGCTGTTAAACGCAGTTGAAAAATACCTGGAGAAAAAAGCAAAACTAGTCGCATCAAAAAGTCCAATAAATCGACCCTTAGAGGCCAAATTTTTAGCCGGCTACATGGCGAGCATTTGTCACGAACATGCGACCAGAAGATATTTGATTTAGCCGCGATGAGGATTCGAACCTCAAACCATCCAACCGATTTCGCTCTCGGACCATTGACAAACTGGGCTATAGACAATTTGGTTTAGTCAACTGAGATGATAATATAAAATGGCCACCGTTAAGAGTTTCTAAAGCTAACTTTTCGAGCGTTAGCTCATCGTCAGAGTGAATGTAGAGTGTTTTTAAGCTGACGCCGTTTCATTGAAAGGCCGCATCTCTAAATTAGCCATACCACTTCGTTATAATTTCCAACGATCAGATATATAAGTAGTGTAAACTTTCATTTATTACTAAATGTTTCCATAGCTGATAAGTTTTCGGAGTTTATATTCACTTGATTTTCGGAAAGTCAATAAACCTTCAGGCTTCACTCACAAGTAAGTTTATTAGCTGCCAGTAGGTAAGTTGTCGGTCACGCTCGAAACATCAGCTTTAGATACTCTTCACGGTGACCAATTTACATAAGTTGATAAAATTTACATCAGTTGATGAAATCAAATTGTCTGTAGTTTAGTTGGTCGGTTATTAGACAACAAAATCGGTCGAAAAGTGTGAGGTTCGCATCTTTATCACGGTGCCAATTAAGATATTTCCTAGTCGCGTGTTCGTGACAAATGCTTGCCATCCATCACTGAAAATTTGGCTTCTTAATGCGGATCGTTTTATGGTACTTTTTGATGCATCTAGTTTTGCTCCTTTCTCAGGTCTTTCCCAACTGCATTTATCAGCAAGTACGCTCTGCAAATTAGAGGCGCCTGAACTGAAGGGCTGTTAAACCATAACACCTAAATTATGGCGAAACACTGAATTAAATCATAGGATATGTACGAATGTGACACGAATCCTACATACTACTACAGCCATGATCTGTTGTGTCGAAAGAATTTCATGCGAGAAAATGAGATTGATTTTTTTTTGTACATTTTGCATTCTGGTGTATCGTGAGAGAACTGATTACATTGCGAATGTGAGCTGATGTTTAGTCGCTTTCAGCCTTTCCAAGAAGGCCAGTTCAATTTCTTGATAGGAAAGAAGCTTTTAAAGCCATTCAACCCTCAAGAAAAAGGTGAAAACGACATTAAGAAAATGTCATTTTCTTAATCCTTTCCGTCATAAAATACCCATTTTATGATCCTAAGGTATGATTTTCGAGTAGATGGCATAGCTTAAGTGAGCCAGCGTTTTCTAACAAATAACTTAGGAGCGTGAGTAAACAATTCAGTTTGGAAGAAAAGGAGCAAAATGTTGCTTCCAAATACAGCTTGAAAGCAAACTATTATTATCTTGTTGGCAAGAGAATATTAGTTTATATTCTCTCACTGTTGGTAATTTATGTGTTCGTCTTGGTTTTTGCGGTAACTACAAGACACTGAACTTCTTACATCATTGCATAAAACCAGGAGTGGTGCATTTACAGCCTTCTCTACAGTAGTTACTCAAACTTTCTAAATCAGCCTAAGATCTAATTCAAATTCTCCCTTTAAGCTGCTAATAAGGAGTGGTAGAATTTTTTAATAGCTAAGACACTGATCTACTCTCAGAAATTTATTTATGCGTGATGATATATTAATCTATCTATGTATAATGATACTGAATGATATAAAGTAATGTTATATTGTAAGGAGAAGTGACATGTCAATCTCGTTTTGAAGTCGAAACAAGCTTCCCAAAGAACCATTATATACCCATATTTACTGAAACACAACCCTTTTTGTTAGGCTTAGTTCACAGTGGGTGATTTGATTTGAAGGACTTGTTTCCCTTATTAGACAGAGAAACGAGAACTCGTGGAAAAATGAATCAAAGTTCTGGGAACCAGCGTTTCGCCTATCAGCAACCTATTGGCCAAGCCCCTCCAGGTCAATTGCAGCCCATGTATGTCCAGGCCCAGGCCCCTCCTGGACAGTATGCTCAACAACCAGTTGGACAGGCTGTACAGCCAGCAGCAGCGCAGGAACCGACGTTGCCAAAGACTACTGATTATTGGAACAGTGCCTTGATTGCAGAAAGAGTGGTTGAGTTTGTGAGTTGTTGTTCTTTTTTCCACAAATTGTTGCCAGAATAATCTACCACCTTTTTATAAGAAAGATTGTTTATTAATTAAGCTAGAATGTTACAGCTTTTTCTGATTTTTGAAGAAAATGAAAGCTTGGTGCTTTGAAGCATAACGATACAGTTTTGAGAACAATCTTTAAATTGACCACTAGAAGCCCAGTGAGCCACCTGGCACTGAAAAAAAACCCATGCTTTAATACACTATTATAACACTTCTAATACAGTTTACTTTTTGGTTATAGCTTTTCCTATCAGCTGCTTGGATATCGATTGTTAGATATTCCAGCCTGAGTGGAAGCGATTCTTGGAGTACGATTGGATATTCGGCATATTTCAAATATTCCGGAGATGCTCCTGTATATGAAGTCGGGAGAGTGAATTTTTTTAAGGGAATTACAGTGTTCTGCTGGATCGTGTCCATTGTATTTCAAGTTGGGTTTGTTTTTGGCTTCAACTATATCAAGCGTCTCTTGTCACGACCGTCACACTTGACAATTGTGGTAAGTTTACCGTTGGTGAAAATACATTTTACATTTGAGACCAGTTAATAGACTCCCATGGCTGAGAAATAGTGTCGCGATAATCGACAGCTTGGGAGTATTGATACTCCATAAATGAAACCCTACTAGTGGTTCATCAGATTTTTCTCAAGTATTTACATGCAGAGCCAGGAATAGGAATGCAGGGGGAAGTAGAAATCCCATTTTCCAGTCCAAGTTTTGTCCAAATCAAATTTCACAGCCTAATTTTTGTCAAAATCTTTCTCCAATTGCATTTTTTGTGCATACTTTCCTAGGACTCAATTCAAATTTATTTTCACTAAAAAAACGAAGCAAATCCTCGGTCGTAATTTACTACTTCAGGCCTCTTTGCACGTGGGCATGAACCAAAGAAGCCATATCACAGCCACATCACAATTTATGTGCATCTTAAAAGATTTATCTCAAATCTTTGTGTGTTCGTCAGTAGTTATCATTTGCAATTCATTTTAATGTTCTCCACTCTCAAAAACTTTGTTTCTTTAGTTTATTTTCGGCTTTTGCCTACCCTGACCAGCTATTATTCAACGGTTTGAAAAAAAAAAGGTGCAAAGGCCTTTCCTCCCCTCCCCTCTCCTCCTCTCTCTTTCTCTCCCCCCCTAAAAATCTTCTAAAATATGACTGTAATTAGAGGATGATAATAGTAATGACAACGATCATGATAATGACAATGATAGTGATAAAGACGATGACTATGACGATGACGATGATGATAATGATGACGATGACCATTACCAAGACGATGATGACGATAATGAAAATGATAAAAAAAAAAAGTTAAAATAAAGTTTTATCATTTGTCCGGCGGTATAGTTACTTCTGAACCTATTAGATTCAGCTTTTCTCTTTTTTTTCCACAGTGCTTTATTGTGCATATTATCCTGACCATCTTACTGGTGGCTTGTACACTGACCCTCGTGTTTCATGCGCATGACATGTCCAAGGCTTACGACGCACTGCCCCGGGCTATAAGGATGAACCTTGATGAACTCTACTTGGCACTGGTAATCTACAACGGCAGTCTATCCCTTAAGCCTTAATATGTGCCAGAGAGAAAAAAGTTTACGAATATGCTATGGGACCTTTCATCATTACAGAGAAAATAGGCGTATGAAGAGAACTCAGCTTCGTAGGTAGTTCGCCGAGTAGAATCCGTTTTCAATGTTTGAAGCCAAGTTATCTAAATACAAAACATAAACAGCCGCCTCATAAGGGGACGGTGGGTTTTTCTTTGAGGAGTAAAACTTAATGATTTAAGTAATCCAAAACTTTTTTCCTCACTAAACCCAACCTGTAATAAAGAGTTTTTTCCTTTTTCGACAGATTTTTGGTTTTCTGGTCTGCTTTTCTTTCTTTGAAAGCATTCGATTGTTCTACAAAATGATCGTTACACAAAGAGGAGAGGAAGAAACCGACAACACTGCACAGACGGCTCAGGGGCCTGGTATTCAGTCTTCTGCCATGTAACCCAAAGGTGCCATTTGAACAAGGAAAGAAAACCTTTATCTAGCTTTAGAGATATACAAGCGTGTTGAGCCTAGTTAACGTTAGAGATGCCTGAAACGATTTGGTAAAGTTGATGAGACATGTTACTCATTGTAGCCATCCTTTTTTGCGATGTTAGGTTTCATGTTTTTGTGCTTTACACCATGATATCACGTTTGCTTGTATTTTTTTCAGTCGGATTGTTCACAGTTATGTAATAGAGGTAATCAGTTTAAAAAAAAAAAACCGACAAATTTCTCTGTGATGAGTTTTTGTTTAGTTATTTTAACCTGACTGGGCCTAATCAATATACTCCTATACTCTTTTTGAACTTACTGACTTAGAGATGTAGTCAGTCACTTTATGTGAACGCAAAAAAATAAAGTTTGTACATGGTCAGAGTGCTCCTGACCTAAACTGCAACATTGTTGTTCTCGTCTTTGATTTAGAAAAATATTCTTACAATTGATTTCCAATGTTTCTGAAGTAGTTAAAGATAAACTATTTTTGCGTAGTGATGAGACAAGGGTCGCTTTTAGTTAACCCTTTACACCCAGCATCAGTATGTATATTCTCCATACTGTTCTCCATAAGTTTCTTAAGGGTCTGAAAACGGGAGAATTTGCGAAACAGTCAAGAGTTCTTTAGTTACTGATCATTTTCCTTATTCTCATGACCTTGATGACCTAATTCAGGGCTGATATTGTAAGGAGAAATTAGATGCTAGTCACTCTAAAAGGTTAATTCTTAGATTGCTGTTTGGTTTCCTGATGTAGTATCACAACTCGAAATTATATGCTTTGTAGAAAATGCGCAAAGAAGTTCAGTACACCGCGGAGAAAAATCATGTGTGTTCGCTAGGGGAATTTATTTCCCTGTTATGGTCAATGATATAGAAAAACAAATATGTCAATTAAAACATGATGTGGTTATTTTAACAATGTCTGCGTGCTGTCTTAAGGAATACTAATATTTGGCAGTATGTTGAGCCACAATTATGTTAGTTATTTAGGATTTATAAACATGTATTATGCTTTCAAGCAGAGTACTAAATATTGACGGTAATTTAAGTTACTTCCATCTCTTTGCATTCCCCGAAATCACCGTCAATAAATGATGAAACTCTGAGTTTATTTAGAATCTTGATTTCGCAAATGCGGCTGCTTTCAATTGAGTGTCGAATGCAATCTAGGTTTTAAAAATTATGAAAGTGTGTTTGAATTTAAAATTGAACGTAAGAAGGGCGCGCGATTAACCGCCTTCAATGAAAGGTTCTGTGATAAACACTTCTTCTTTATTTCTCCGAATCAGGACAAAACGATAAAAATTCCTCTAAACAAGCTCATGTCTGTTTTATTCTAGATATACGACCACCGTTACAATTCACGTTCTCAGAAAAAGCAACCGAACCGCTCGAATGTCATTTTTCTACGAATGTTTGGGTAACTGCGTAAACGGCCTCAAAGCTTGTCTCATTATCTTTCTAGGAAACCTATCGCCTTTATAATTTCTTCGGGTATCGCTTTCTTACGCAGAATATCGCGTTCTTACGCAGAAAATCGGCGAAATAATCATTGCTTATATGCAGATTGTAACTGGAGTCGTCTTTGTGGTGAGCTAAGCGTAACTCATCTTTTCAATGTTTGGGTTGCTTCATAAACAAGCTTATGGCTCCTCTTTCTGTCTTTCTAAGAAACCGTTCAAGTGTCTTATTCAAGCATCGAGTTTCTTCGCAGAAAGTTGATGAAATAACGATCATTGCCAATCTGCTGTTTGTGTCCGAAGCAAGAGGAGTTTTTAAGGGCCTTAAAACGCTCAGAAAACGAAGGTATGTTTATAAAATTGTAAAAATAACCTCATAATTTCGAATTTTAGACTCTCGCTAAATAGACAACGTTCCTCAATACTGAAACAAATGATTTGCATTCTATGGATGGACACGAACAGAGCGTTAGTCAAATCAATGGAGCGGAATTTCTGGTACAGACCATGGAAATACTAATTTTTTGCCCCAAAAGGATCACGAGATCACGCGCTTGGGAGACATGCCATATTCTCCATATTTAGGAAAGTCAACTCGTTGTTGTAAAAATCTAGCTAGGGACTTCAAAAAGGAGTCCTTTAGGGGCCTCATTCAATTCAATGTCCATAGCTGCGAGATTCCGCAGTTAAAAGAATAGAATTAGGATAGAAGGATGCAATGAAAATTATACTATTTCGGGTCTACTACAGTTGATCCCTTTCAGATGATATTTTCTTCATTAGTTGGCAGGTTAGTCGAGCTAGAGCTGAATATCAGGTTTTTATGTTATAAAGAGGTGATCTTCGCATTTAAGAGCCCACCAATATAAACTGTGAGCAATTTAATTCGAAAAACAAATGTAAAACAATGAAATTGTACGTTTGTGACAGTATGAAGTATCTCCAATTCCAGGACTCTTGGAGTCATTTCCTCTGTTCCTTTTTGATTTGACCCAAAGGTTACGTTCATGCAATTACTACTTTTATTAAAAGGGTAGGTGACAAAGCGCGATAGTTAACTGTAAATGATATACGTTATTCAGCAATAATCTGAAGTTGCTCCGCAACTTTTAATAACACTGCGAAAATTGATAGACATGCACAAATTCTGCTTTATCATCAAGCAAACATTTTAGGACCTTGAGTTTTATGGCTCAAAGAAAACGTCATTTTAAATGTTTAACCTCGATAATGGTATCATATAAAGTCGCAGTTTCCATCCAACCTAGTCATTTTTCCAACATAGAGCGAAAGTTAATAAGATTTTGTAAACGAAACCTCAGTAGCTGAGAGTGCTTCTGAGGGGCTGAGGTGTCTCCATGGTAAACTTTGTACCTTAAATAACCACTAATTTAACTTTTGTTTGATAAAATCTTCAGGGAAACAATTGATAATTTAAATATAAATTGCTTTTGAGGCTATTTGATTTAAAAAGTTAGGACATCTTTTTGCTACCATTGAACCAACTAATGTTACTGATATTTAAATATCTTAATTAAAGTATCAATATAGTTCAAAGACAAAACAGAGTCACGTGACCACAGCAAACGTCAGATTAGCTCAGGCAATCATTCGTCATTTTAATCACAGGTGAAGCCAAACGTCAAACCGGCCAAGGTCAGACCACTTAGACAGTCATGCAGCAGATATATTCTAATCAGCCACAGACAGTGTCTGGAGCACAGTCTCCAATGAGATAACAAGGCTATGTCCCCACTGGACAACAAGGCCATTTCCCTACTGGAAAATAAGGCTATGCCCCTAATGAACAACCTGTCCAATCCGTTCCAGGCCCTGGTGTCCCTATACAGCCTCCAGTGAACCAACCTAGGGCAGGACGGATCGACAAAACCTACCTGAAAACTGCACTGAGAATCTCGAGAGATTTGGAGTTTGTAAGTAGTTGAAGGATATGAAGGGGTTTTATTTTAACGAATGATATAGGATCGACAAGGGTTTCGATTTAAAACTTTGCCCGATCCAAGTAGTATCATATTTGGTCTATAATAATAATAATAATAATAATAATATCAACTTTATTTAAGGAGGGTAACACACAACAGTAATTCAACTGATGAACTAGTGGCCCTCAATAGATGCTTTGTCTCCTACCCTCTTTTCTCTCTAAGTTAGAATGCATTAGGAACCTCGTTGGAACACCACTTGCTTCTCTACGGCTTTGTACCAACAACCAAAGGGTGATGGTCAATACTCATTGTTCATGAGCGTACCTTGTCCTCTTACACAGTTCTTCTTGTTAATCGCCTGGCCATGTGGTGTTGTTTACTCTAACCGTACTTTCGATTTGGATGGTCGAGCAACGTTCTTCGCAGGAGTCTCCACATTTTGTTGGGTAATGGTGATAGTCCTCCAAATTGTGTTAATGCTTGGCATCCACAAAGACCGGCGATACTTGAGGACACCATCATATTCCACACTGATAGTGAGTATTGCAACCAATTCACATTGATAATTCATGAATGTAATACGAATACAAGGCCGTTTTCAAGATGCCCAAAGACTCTCTGAAATCGAGTCAGTTTTCGTGTGAGGCCTCTGAAAGGTGCTGAGACAAAAAGCAGCCTCATTCTTTTCACAAGAAAGGTTTTGCACTCTTGACTTTTGGAATTCAGAGTGATATTTTAGGTCACTGATTGGGAAGAGGGACATTTAACACCATGTAGAAAAATTCGCCAGAAAATGGCCATCAAAGTGAGTGAGGATAAAATTATAGCAGCTTAGAACTTTGAGGGAAAATTTAACCAACTAAGTTATTACCTAAAAAGGCTCTCGTGTATACAGACTATTAACAGGAATTAAAGAACTGTGGAAGGCTGGACACTTGACTATCTCAGTTGCACAAAATATAGCCAGTCACTTGGCAGATATATTGCCTTGTACTCAAGATGACTAACTCTTTCTCAAGCTCCTCCACTTTAAAAACGAAGTTTTAAGGCTGTAATTTTGATGTTTAGGCGGCAGGCGACGTGTTGTTGCTTTTTTAATGTTGTTACTGGCAATGGGATGTTTAAAACCAATCTTTTTCTGCTCTAACCAGTCAAAAACACCTGTTCTTTTCTTCAAGGTTTAGCTGTACAAGTCCTCATGACCATACTTCTCATCGCTAGTACTACAAGCCTGATTATGGTCGGTGTCGACTTGTTTAAAGCTGACAAAGCTTACCGTGATAAATACGGTGAAGGCAGACCTGGTGACCACTTAAACAATATACTGCTCGGTTCCGCCTTTGTACGTTATTTTACTATTTTACCTAAATCTAAATACTGTCTTGGTGAGCAGAATGAAAAGATCATGCAGAGTATCTTGTTTACTGACGAATGACGAATGAGGGCATTAGCGAATCGTAGGTGGTGGGTCTCAGGATCCAGATCACTCCCGTCCTCCCTCCCCATTAGACCTGTTAATAAGTTCAACTACCTGGCAATCACTGGCAACAACAGGATGGTAAAAAACCTCTAAATATGAGCATTGAAATATTTCTTAACTTGTTTAGGCCCTGGTGTGTAGATGAATATGTTTATGTTTTCTGAGTTGGGTACACCCTGCCCCCTTCCTACCAAAATTTCCTGGCTCTTCCCCTTGGAATAGCCTAATAATAAGCATTCCGGACACTGAATCGATAGATCTCAAATCGATCTTTGTCCATCCTGTTTCCTTCTTGGGAAAGACTCTTTACTCTCACAGTTCCTCTCTCCAGGCAGGAGTGTGTTAAGCATTAGGGACCATTTGTTATCTATCACCGGGAGAGGGGAGGGAGGGGCGAGGATTTTGGTTGTGTCACAATAACATTTACCCATAACCCTCCTAAGGCTCAGTAGCATTCTTGCCCCCCCATCCCCCCACTCTATTAAACTCTCTTAGCGACGACTAATCCCTCCTCTACTCCCTCTTTACCCTTCAACTCCCATAAGTGACCAAGACAGAATTTCTCGTTACAATATCAATACAGTATCAAGCAGACAAGTGATGAAAATATATAAAAATTTCTCTTCATTTTACAGTTTTGTGATTCGTTGACCTGTTTGAGTTTCTTGGAAGACATCCCACAAGACACAAGAATGTACAGATTGCAAAGAGCAAAGGAAATTGCTGAGGCTGATGATTCCCAGTAGCCTCTTAACTGAACTTCAACTGCGGCAGCCTGGATCAGCGACAACGCTGCCAGTTTACTAAATTTGTAGAAGACAGCTTTGTTTGAAAGCGCGTCCTTAGCTTTGATTGATTTTTGTTGGTTAGCTGCATAAAAAAAGTTATCGAGAGCTGCTGTGTTGAAACGATCCCGTATTAACGTAGTTCGTTTTGACTTTTCCTATAATCATATTCGACATTTATCATGGTTACTGGCTTTTTCCCTAGCTAGATTTTTTAAACTTAACTATTACAAACATGTACTTCAGGCCTTTTGAGTAAAACTGTGGCACCTATCACCCTAAAGAAGCGATGATCGAAAGAGACACACGGTCCTACATAGTGTCACATAGAATACAAGGTTTTTTCTATATCGTTTGCTGACCCCTATTTGAAATAAAACTTGGAGTATAAACTTTGATTAAAAAGTCTCAGTGAACTTTTAATGGTTACCTTTCTTAGCTTTGGTCAGCAAAACCTCATTATAGTAAATAACGATGTTACGACAATCGCGACACAATGTTATCGATTTTGTGATTTCGTTGATTTTAGTTTTCTTCCTTTTATCATCCTTTGATGGCTTAGCAATAGATGAAAAAAAGCTATTATGGTTTTTTTGCAGAATGAAGCGACTAGGAGT